GAACCGCTCCAAGTAGGCAGGGGGAAGCTTCACCCACTGGAGTTGAGGGCTGCATGCACTGATCAGGGCCCAGGCGAGTGTGTGCAGGTGGAAGCATAGCATGGGCTGCCCCAGTGAAAGTGAGTGGGTCTTGGCCCCATGTAGGGTGCAGCAGAGGCAACCGCAGACCAGATCCAGTCAGTTGGCAGAGTGGATCTGGCTGTCAGGCCATATTTTGCCCACCCCTGCTAAAGAAGGCATCAGAGGGTTTTAATTATATTAAATAAAATTAAGTTGCGAGGGACTGACAAAATTAATCCCAAGATACTTAATGAACTGGCTGAGAGGATCTCAGGGCCATTGTCAATAACATTTACAAAACTGTTGGAGACAGGCAACATTCTAGAGGACTAAGAAAGGACCAGGGGTTGTACTAGATGACCTCCTGAGGTCCCTTCCAACCCTAATTTTCTATGATTGTATGACTAACATAGCTTCCATCTTTAAAAATAAAAAAAATGGAGAAAGGAGGGCCTAGAGAATTATAGGTCTACCAGCCTGACTTCATGACTAAGGAAGTTACTGGAGCTAATTATGAAGACATCCATTTGAAAACATGTCCAGGAAGAAATATATGGTCATCACCCTTTCCAACATTGATTTATTAAGAATATATTATGCCACACAAATTTTATCTCCTTCTTTGACAAAATAACTACTTGGGTTTATGAAGGGAATGCAGTGGGCTTAGTATACTTACAGTCCCATGTGACATTCTTTTAAGAAAACTGGAGAAATATGGGCTATATATAATTATTATTAGGTGGATGCATAATAGGCTTGATGACTACATGTAAAGGGTAATTATAAATGGATAAATGCTAGAATGGCAGGAGGTATCAAGTATGGTTCCACAGGGGTCTGTCCTGGATCTGATGTTGTTTAACATGTGCATTAATGATTTAGATGCCAGAATAGAGTGATTCCTGATCAAATGTACAGATTACTTGAAATTGGGAAGGACTGCAAACACTTTGGAGCATAGGGGGACATTTCAAAAAGGATCTTGGTAGATTGGAAAGTTGGGATACAGTCAACAGAATGAAGTTCAGTGCAGGCAAATGGAAGGTGCTACACCTAGGAAAGAATAATGAAATGCACAGATACAGAATGGGAGATAACTAGTTGGCTGAGAAGGAACACTGCCATGAGAAAATGTTGACAGACCCAAATTTCTAAATACTGTACTTTCTAAATACCACTTACTCCACCGTTTTTTTGCCAATCCATTTCCTCCAACAGATCCGTTCTCAAACATAAGTAGGCTACTTTATGCAAACAAACCCCAGTCTTTATGTTACTCTGTCTGTTATAGTGACCACTGTTGTGGAACATGTTTCAGTACCTTGTCAATAAATGGAGCAAAATAAAAAAGCAAAACTTTTTATGTGCCCTCCACACCCACGCAGCCTCATTAGAACAGTCTCTCTCAAGCCGTGGGTCACAAAAATATAAGAACGAGTTAAAAATAAACTTTAAAATGGATTCTCCTTTGAAGGAAAAATATGTGGGAAACTGCGGGTTTCCCCTTGCAGGCTGACAGATTTCCAGCCTGCAACGGGCCGCTTGGAGCTGGAAGGAGTGGGAGGAGGATGATCAGGCAGGGGGCACCATGTGCATGCATGCATGTGGAAGCCAGGTAGCATGGAGAGCAGCTCCCACAATTCTCTGCAGTTAAGTCTATGGGGAGGGCATAGATGATGCATCAGGAGGACATGACCCCATATTTGTCCACCCACAGCAGACACGGGGATGCAGCCTAGCCAGACCAGCATGGACAGGAGCTGCCTCCACAGCCCAATGGGAAGGACCCAGTGCAGGAGGGCAGAGCAGGACAGAAAGGCTCATTGCTGTGCTGCTGCCACAACCCCTGCACCAGTTGCACTGCCAAAAACATAAGGTGTAATGAACGGTGGGGCCACACTGCCATCACCCCTTGCCACCAGCTGCTTAGGTACCACCATGGCCCGACTGCCATGTCCCCTCAGGCCGTGGCTGTACCCCAAAGAGGAGGTCCGGTGACAGGCAGCATGGACAGCCTGACCAGACTGGTGGCAGCCAAGCCGTGGTGTAGGGCAGAGCCACAGCCCAGTGTACAAGTGGATGGCAACAGGAGGAAGTGAAGCCAGAATTCACACACACACACCCCCACACACCCCGTCTATTATTCGTTGCACTGATGGTGGCGCAGCTCTTCCCTCCCATACTGGGTCCTCTCCACTGGGCCACGCAGGCAGCTCCTGCCTCTGCTGGTCTTGTCAGGCTGCAGCCCTGTGTCCACTGTGGGTGCACAAATCTGGGAGGGGCATGTGCCCCCATGCTCCACACATTGGCCTCATTGACAGGAAAGAATTTTCCAAAGAATTGGTTACTTATTTAAATATTTTCATTTTTCACAAAAGTTTCACATTTTTATAAAACCACTCTCATAATGGCTATCAAGTATTTTTTAACAAATTCCAGAAATCATTTGCATTTATTTTACTATTTTATATTCTCAATTAAAAATGGATTAAAAAATATGTGAGTTTTGGGGCCCATTTGGAAATCTCCAAAATAGCTGAAAAGGTTCAAAATTTAAATTTTCTTTTATTTTTTTCACCAGCTGAATTTATGAGGATTCACTGTGTTAAAATAAGGAACAGCATCATGTAGTTATACTTATTTAGTACTTCTAGATTGCTTACTCCTCATCCTGAAGATTCTCTTCCTCCTCTTGTATCTGGAGATGATTTTTTACAGGAGCCAGGTTCTCAGTTTTGGCATTGTAATTCCGAAAGCAGACATTGAGCTTCTCATCAAATTCATTCACCAAGTCTTCCATAGACTTGAAGCTGATGATCTCAGAAGAGAAGTTTTCAAGCTCAGAAAGGGAGGCATCTTCTAAATGCTGAGGGGATGAGCCATAAAAACAATGTTTTTTTTCTTCTCTGCCATCAGAGTAGCAAGGTCTCAGATCTTCAAACTCTTCATCCAGATTCACCAGTGGAGCTTCCATCTTGGTCTGGCTAAAGAGAAATGGATTGTTTTCAAGACAGCTTATCTGGAAAAAAAATAGTATGTTAAAAAATCAGCAACAAGAATAAACATGTGCTTATTCAACACTCCTGCAGGACTAAATGCAGTAATATAGGAGGAGCAGTCCTACCTTTACTGATGGTTATGACAGGATTTTAATTACAACCGGCTGTTCTCAGTTGCTCATGAAGCTTTCCATTGTTGATATCAGTAGTCAGAGATTACTTTCTTAAAGTTTCTGCCTATGGAAAGCATTTTTTTTTAAGTAACCATTCTAAGTATACTGAAAGACACATTTTTTCACAAAGCAGTGGAATTCAGAAACTTTAATTTTCCAAGCTGGCTCATATTTAGTGAGGAATATGCCTTTTTATTGCTTATTTAAAAATAAAATACCGTATTGTTCTAATTATAAGTCAAATTATTGCCGTCCAAAATATCCATTAAAACTACACCTGCTTTATAAACAACGATGATCTATACTAGGTATGTCAAATTCCTTCCACCCCACAGACTGGATGAGTGGCATCAGGCTGGTCCGTGGGTTGGATCCAGGCCATGAACCTCCTCTCCCTTCCCTTCTCCCTTTCCCTCCTCCTCCTCCACCATAGTCAGGGACCCTCATTGCATAGGGCACAAATCCTAGAGCAGCTGGAACAGGTGCCATGTATGGTACAGTCTTGCCAGAGTGGCACCTGTACTACACATGACGCCCATCACAGCCACTCCAGGACTGCACCACATGCAGTGCCTGCTCCCAGCCAGTCTGGAACCCCTGCTGCACTTGGTGCCTGTGAGTGCTGTGTGCATCTTAGGTCCCAGACCAGCTGGAACGGATGTGTACAGTCTGAGGGTGCACCCCAGAGTGGGAGCAGTGTGAAGCAGTACAGTACATGCAGTGTAGTTCAGGCAGACTGAACCACATGTAGTGTATATTCTGGCTGCACCAGGATCATGCAGCCCAGGCCTTAGATCTGCTGAAGTAGCCACTGGATCAGGTATGCTGGGGGAGGATAGAGGAGGGGAAAGCTGTGATCTGGATCCAGCCCATGGACTGGCATTGCACCATAGGCATATTCTTGCCCACTGAGGTCTGATCAGACCTAGGGGCAGCACTGAGGAGGCCAGAATAAGTAAGACGGGGCTCACAGCATTTTTATTACTATGCTACATCAACTACATATGCTTTTAGAACTGGGGCTGAAAGAATAATATTTTTTTAGCAAAATGAATATAAGTTTGGGTCAACTTGACTGCCTTTACTCCCTTTAGTAATTGCACATTCCCAAAGCTTTGAAAATGGCCTACAAGACTTGTTCAGATATGTACTTAATGGATCAAATATACAGTTGCAGCACCAGTATGTTGAAGTGGGAGGTCCTCATGTACCTGAACAGTAAGCATGGTATACTTCACTTCAGTGTTCCTTAGCATGGTCAGGAGGCAGTGAAAATATGACTAAAATTGCTTCTTTTTAAGAAATAGCTCAGTTTTGTAAATGCCAAGGATGCTTGGCTTGGAGGAGGGAAAAGTGTTGATGGTACTGTGTCAGGATCCTTTCCTATCCTGCATTGGGACCACAGTAACTACTTCTTTCTGCTATGGGTGAATAAATATTTGTCTCCAGATTTTCAGTAAGTTTGTCCTGAGAGATCTTTGTCAATATTTGCAATTAAGAATGGTAATGGAATATTTCTTCCTTTAACCTTGGAACGGCTGGGTAAAAAATTGGGTTTTCTGGATGGGAGAATGGGACCATAGGGGCAGAGCAAACCAAATGAGGCACATCGCTTGTGACTGGATCTAGAGGATATTTTTCACCCATCTCTGCAATGCCTGCTGGGTCACTGAAGCCAATACTGCTGAAGCTGAAATGCCCAACTACTCTTTTTTAACTGAGTAGACCCTCACCTGACTCAGTAGGCCCCATTATCTTCCCACCCAGCTTCATTGGCAATGCAGCTCCGCAAAGGTAGCGCCATTTGCTCCCTGCATTTCCTCATTTAAGACATGCACCCCAAATTCCTGAAACTAATTTTCAGAAAAAACATGCATTGTATAGGAGTAAATACCGTAAAATATTAAGAAAACAACTTTCAAATGAAGAAGGACACCTGTTTGGGCAAAGGGCTCTGCCCTGGCACTGTATCCAGAAAAACATATGCCACACTGGTTCATGAGCTAAGACCCAGCTGGGGCTGATCTGGTCCCAGGAGCCAGCTAGAGGCAATCAGGCAATGAGGCCCTGTCTACTCTGGCTTTATATGCTCAGATCAGACAGCAGAGAGCTGTCTGGGAAACAGACTGCATTGTGCCTCAGGCCTGCTTGGAACTTTTAAACTTGACTCTGAACCTTCTAGATCAGACTCTCCTGCTGTTTCTTGCTTACTCATGTTCCTGTCTTGGACCTCCCAGTCTGGATTAACTTCTTACCCTGACTGTGACCTCTTCTGAACCTTCAGCTTGATATCCCAGACTTGGACTGACACTCAGTTTGACCTAGGATGACATTCCCATAATCCTCTACCCTAGTGTGTTCCACTCTGACTGACCACCTATGACCCAATCACCCCATTACATACCTCTTTCCTTACAACTTGCATCATTTAGAGACCTAGAAAGTTCTCATTTAAAGTTTCAACCTATACCTACAATGTTTATTATCCACTGATAGACCTATCCTGCATGGATTTGTCTAATCCTCTTTTGAACCTCATTAAATTACTGGCTTCTTCAATATATTGTGGCAATGAGTTCCACAAGTTAATTATGTGCTGTGGTAAAAAAGCAACTTTCTTTTGTTAGTTTTAAACCTGCTTCCAAATCATTTCCAAATATATCCCCAGTGCATCCACCCTGTGCTGTTCTACCTACTGCATCCTGGGCTCAACTTTCAGTCTCTGAAACCAGATGATAATAGTAATTACTGCACTTCAGCAGACTCCAGCACCATATGTATCAGCGTCCCCACACTGAAAAATGGCAGTGGGGTGCTTTAAACTAAAGCTTGTTCAATGAGCTTTAGTTCAAAGCACCCTGCTGCCATTTTTCATTGCAGGGACACTGATGCACATGATACTCCAGGTGCTTTTAATTAGTGTGGCTCTTGAAGCTGTGCTAATTAAAGCACACCCCCACACACACAGACACACACCTCCCAGAATACATCTATAAATGCCTGATATCTCTAACAAAATAACAAAATTTGGAAGAATAATTCCCCTACAAAGCTGATGTCTTTCTTCGATAAGGTATTTTCTAGATAAATGAACAGTGGGAAATTTAGTCTACTTGTACTACTCTATTAAATGCTTTACTAAAGTATATGGGTAAAATTTCACTTAAATGTAAATAACTGGAGATTAGTACAAGAATTTTAAGTTAGGAAAAGAACTGATTAAAGGAAGACAATGAGAGTTCACATTGTAAAGAGAGCTACTGGACTGGAGAGAGATTACCCATGGCATAGGCAGCATTAGAATCATGTGGTCACACCCCCTTCAGCTGTGTAGCACATGTTATCAGTAAAGAGGGCTCACTGCACAGGTGTCAAACAGCAGAAGAGTGTGTGGGCATACACTCCCATCATGATCCTGGATGTCAGTGAGTTCTCTGAGTTCACCAGCATGTCAGTACTGCTCGTGCTATGTGTCATGAGCTCTTTGAGATCACCAACTGGTCAACGCAGGGTATGCCAAGAACCCGTTGCACAGAGCTCCAGAGCCCAGGAGGTGTGCACTGCTGCTGTTTGCTGTTTCCCTCTCCCTCCCCCTCCTCCCCTTTCTGAATTCAACACAGGAAAAGGAGGAATCACAGGAAAAGAGAGATGAGCAGTAGGAGGCTACATAGCTGCACGAAAGCAGGGGCTGAGTGCTGCCACTGCTGCTCATCCCCTCTTTTCCTCTGCTGTTAAATTCAGTGGAAGTAAGGCAGAAGGAGGGGAAGGGCAAATAGCAGTGGCACTCACCCCTGGGCTTGGGATCCCAGCAAAAGCATGTGCTCTGGGCAGACCCACACCAACCAGCCAGCTGTCTCAGACAGATCACAACACATGCAGAGCTCCCAGCAGGAGCTGTGCTCTGTGCTGACATGCCGGTGAGCTCAGAGAACTCACTGCATGTACAGCACACAGCGAAAGAGGAATGCAACCATGCCATCACACTCCCTCTGGAACCATCCATGACCAGTGCTATTTCTCACAGAGCCAGCAAACAGGTGAGTTTGTGAGGCAGTTTGTCAGCATAGTTATGTTTGTAAGGCAAAGACAAGGCAAAGACTACATTAAGGGTGACTGAAACACCAGTGGAAAAAACCTAAAGAATATCAAGGATAATAAATAAAACTAGGTACAGCAACTTTCTAGGTGGAGAAAATGGAGATACCAGGGACCAGTGACTCCCTACTGCAACACCAATCTGTCTTCCAGATTTGAGGTCCTACACGGTATGCCGTCTGCCTGGAGCCTGTATTCAGGATGTCACAGAAGATTGCCAACGCTCATCCATGCCTCAGGCCACTATCCTTTCCTGTTGTCCTTCTAGGCACCAACTGCCAGAAATGACATTGAGTAGACCAGAGGTGACTATGAGGCTCTTGGCAGGAGGGTTAAAGAGTTTGGAGCACAGGTGGTGTTCTTTTCAGTCCTGCCAGTGGAAGATAAGGGCCCAGGCAGGGACTATCATATCATGAAAGTAAATGTATAGCTGAGATAGTGGTGAGGACATGAAGACTTTGGATTTTTTTACTATAGGCAAATATTTCGGGGAAGAGGAATGGTATCAAGAGACAGGATACATCTGACCACAGTGGGAAAAAGCATCTTTGGGTGTCATCTAGCTGAACTAGTAGAGAGGACTTTAAATTAGATTGAACAGGGGATAGTGAACAAAACCCTCCAGCAACAGAGCAAACATTATCTGCTGGAAGAATCATGTGTCCAAAATAAAATAATGACCAAGTTTCTAAAAGTATGGAGGACAACTTTCTGTGCAAGAAAGATAAAAATGTAACTAGGGGATCATCTAT